TTTAATACTGATGGTTTCTAAGTCATAACAATAATAATAATGCTGCTACTTTTAAATTTGTCAATTTTTCAATAAGATGCTTATATTTCTGCAATATTCTGCGATTATTATTTTTTCTTCCTTTTAAAGCTGAAAAAAGTCCGCTTTAAATTTTTTAAAAAAAGAATTAAAAAAAAGCGAAAAGTAAAAGAAGAAATCCGATGCTTAACAGATTAAAAATTTGAAGAAACATTTACTGATGTTTATTTTTTTTCAAAAATTAAAATCGATTTGTATTTTGGTGGTAGGATAAAACTTTTTCGTCTAGATGGTTAATGCTACTTACCAATTTAACTGCGCAGTAGATGCATACAATCCGCGATTGCAACGAACTATAGGGGGCGTTGTTGTATGAGACGAATACCTGCTATTTCTATATGAACAATCATTCAGTTACTCTGGAGACGTCTTTAATGTAGCGCGTAGCAATGTAACGTTCCTACTTTATTGTGGCTTATTAAATTTAAAAAAGAAAAATGTTTGATATTCTTTCTTATGCAAACGAAAACAAAATGGTATCTCTTTTATTTTAGAGAAGGAAAATCCAAAACGCATCGAAAAAATATTTGTAAATAAACAGAAAACTATATGTATATTCTTATAAGAGTTAAAACCTAGTGCCTAAGAAATAGTTTTACTAAGCTTAATGATAAAACATGAAAGGCCCATTTAAACTTTACATTCCATAGTTGTAAGAATCATTTATTTTCAAAAATTAAAATGAACAAAGAGTAGGACATAAAGCCTCATAATTTTACATTATTTAATTTTGCAAACAAAGTTTTTGACAACAATTTATATTAAAAAATTTTAAGTTTCAATAAAAGTCATTATTTAGAGACTAAAAAACGTAAAATAAAGAATGCTTACGAAACAAAACAAAAAAACAATTCTTTTTTGACGCGATTTTTTGTTGCTACGAAAATGCATCTTTGGGATTTGCCAAAAACAAAACAAGATGCAATTTTATTTTTTCAGGAGCGAAATATTTCACCGAAAAAACGAAAATTTACCAATTCCCATAACATGAAGTTTTATCTTTGTAAACGTATGTTTTGGAAATGTTATTTAATTTGGAAACTTATTTATTAGAATTCATATGGCGACTTCATCAGGTAGGTGAAAGAGAATAGAGTTTGTTTTGAATCTATGCTAAACTCTATATCGGCCCATTTTCCACCGAAATCCAATTGACTACTTTGATTATAAATAAAGGGTTTTGTTTCATGATTTGTCGCAAAAATTTTAAGTGTAGATTGGCGACACTTAAAAACCGCCAAATCTGTAGCTGCGGTGTCGTTAATACGTAAGTACCGAATTTTTATTCCATACTTTTCTGAATCATATTACTTCAAACATTAGAATATGCAAGAAGTATACATTAACACATAATGTTATACGAATTAATTTTTCAAAAAAAAGTATTTTGCCAACAATTTTTATAGAAAAATTATAAACTAAAAAACTTAAAATAAAGAATTCTTAGGATAAAAAACGATTTTAAAAATTCTTCATATCGAAATAAAAACTTTAATATTGTTTCGTTTCTTTATTCTTATAGTTCTTAATCACGCAAAAAACCATTCTGTGGAGAACGATCATCAAATAAGAAAAAAAATTTTTTACAAGCAAATTTTTTATTAAAAAAATCATAACGCTCACCTGTGTTATAAATCCGCAGAATTCCAAATGAAATGTTCTTCATTTGAAAATTTTATATTCAAATAATACGATTATCCCTTCATTATTTTTAGATAACATGCCACACAGCAAAATTGTAAGATCTCGATATGAATTTCAATATGTAACTTTAAAACAGAATAGCTGAATTTAGTTAAAATTATTCTTTCAAAACTATAAAGTACTTACCAAGAAAACGATAAAAATTTATTAATAATCAGCACAAATGATACTATTTCAAGTAGTTCGGATGATTCTTTATTGTTGTTTTCCGAATTATATAGATACAGAAATATATACTATTCTATAAAGAAGAAGATTATTCTTTAACTATTATGCAGTTCTGTGTGCTTTCTGAATTCACATTTATTCATTGGAATGACGAAAGCAATGTTGACTTCACTTTAATTCGTAATGAATTGAAGACAGAAAAAATTATTTTACCGTAATATACACATCTGTAACTGCAAATGATGATGAAATCGGAAGTTATGTTGTTGGTAATAGAAAAGGTAAAAATTATTGAGAAATTTTTTTTCAAATTCTTGGCGTGTTCTGCTTCATTGTTCGACATGTTCTGATTAGTTTTTTCAAGTTCTTCTATCTTTTCCTTAGGGAAATTTTGCTTCTTATTTGCTGCTAAGAAAATAGCGTCCGTCATTGCCAAAAATTATGATGAAACTAATGCCCAATATTTTCAGGCTCCCGCTAGAGGGCGTACTCGAGCGTTGCGATCGCGAATAGTATTCATAACTTCATATGAATTGCGGTGCGCTAAATATTCAATATCATTCCATTAGCTTAAAAGCATTAATGATGTATTTCAATCATGTTAATACGTATTATATACTGTTCAAATAAATATATGTACAAAAAAAAATTATGAGAAATTAAAATTTTAAAAATAAATTGGAATCTGATTTACACAATGTGAAAAATCACACGACATCTAAGCATTTCATAGAACTATATTAAAACAAATAACCAAACGATTACATAACACTTCATAAATTTACTAAAAATAATAACAGAAAACGATAAACTCAACTAACTACTAACTAACTAGTAGTTAAGTTTTTTGCCGTAGCGCGGCGTAGCGTAGCCATTTCGAAGAACATTGATAAAAATAAAAAAATAAAGCGTCGCCTTTTTTTAATGTTTTATCATTTGACACTTAAATATTTCTCTGTGATTAAATGTCTATATTTTTAGTTCAGAAAAAGAAACTTAGCAATATTAATGTTGTTGTTGTTTATCCTCTTCCGGCCTGACGAAGTCAGACCAGATCTATGAACCCGTTGACCTGAAGAAAATCAAACACCAAAAGAGGAGTAGAGTAAATTTCTTCCCAGAGAAGACCAAGACAGTTCAGGATGTGATCGGCGGAAGCCCGGTGTAGGTGGATTTTAGTTCCTTCGGAAAATAGAAAACCTTTAAGATGGCCGGTAGCTAGGTGGGAGATGGTGGTGAAAACTCTCCTTTCAAAGTGAAGGATCAAAGAAGCTCCAGGCTTATTTCCCTTGTACCAATGGTGGGTGGGGGGAATCAACCAGTCTCTGAGAATCTGGGATTTCTTCAGGGAGTAAAGTTCAAGATAGGTAAGGTGCGGTTAGCTGCAACCCTCTTTAGCTAGGCTGTCCGCTAAATCATTACCATAGAAACCGACGTGAGAAGGAACCCTCTGCAGGTGAATATTATGTTGGAGGGACAAGAGTTTTAGGTTGTTTACGATGGAAATACTGGTTTTGTCGCCAATTTGGGTCCGGTTGTTGAGATGTTGCAGTGAGCTGCCGCTATCAGAGAATAGGATTCAGATTATTGGGTAGTCAGACTGAGAGAGATACCTAGGAGAAGGAAAACTCCGATCCAAATCCGTACCCAGCGTCTGTCCTTCATGTTAGAAGCGGCTTGGGTGTCTGAGGAGCTAAGACAGTCTTCTAACGGGTGCTCCAGTCTTCAGACAAACAGAAGCTGCAAATTACCTTACCATGAACCAGTTGAGCAATATTAATAAAATCGTTTGCGCAACAAATTTCGTTCTTTCTTTCTTTCTGCCACAAACACGGAGAATTTATGAAGAGTTTCCTCTCCAATGTTAAAGCATATAAAAAAACGACGTGTTTTTTTTTTCAATGGGGGGGGGGGGGGTAAAATGGCTGCACTGGACCAAACGGCTTCTGCGCCTGATGTTGTTGAATAAAATGCAAATTTTTATGGATGGCATGCACCGTTTAACCTTTTCATTTAATAAACCAAAAACTGTTTATGGTAGAAATTATCATAAAACAAAATGCAATAAATAATAGTAAATAAAAATATGACAAAACAGCTTTTTAGAAAGACAAAACTAAACTATAAGCTAAATGTTAAGGCAAAGGTAATGTAAGGGAAGGTGTTAAATTAAAACTAAAGTATAAGATAAATGATTTAACATTAACTAGAAAATTTTATGTTTTTACACAAATGAACAATGTGAAAAAATTTCAAAATACTAACGTAAATCCACGAAATGCAATCTTAATTCAATAATTTTTACTGAAACGAACCTTAAAAACTCAATTTTAAATCTATAAATCACAATGAACTATTATTCATTTATGGTACAATTGTTTTCCAACAGAAATAAACAAAATAATATGAAAGAGGCACTAAATTAAAAACTGTATAGTGATAACTTTTCAAATTTTCAGAATTAACAAACCATTTTCTTTAAATGTTGCCGAAGGACCCAAGGGCTTTTTTTAAAATAAAATGTTGGTCTTGATGAAATTTTTAGAAAAGCTTCATGATAACGTTAGAGTGAATTGTCCTTAAGTATGGCTTAAGTTCATTTCCATGAATAAAGTATATAGACGCTCTTTTAAGGTATAAAAAACGATTTATAAACTTTGGCTCTACACGGGTAGGAAATATGAAAAATAAATTAATTAATTAAAATTAGTACTTATATAAACTTACCTAATCCAAACTTGAATGAATAAATCTTTTTAAAATAAAGCAAAAAAAATGCTACAATAAAAAGAACTGAATTTTTTTATTTCCTATGAGCTGCACAATCAGTCTTCTCGATGAGCAGACCTAGTGTGTTCTCCAGAAGTGGTATCCACTCTTTCAGGACCACCCCAATGGGTGAGATACCGTTGGCCATGTTAATTTGGAGATCTAGTTTCTGCCACACTAGATGGCAGCACCGAGACTCTATTTGGATGCTAAAGTGCACTAGGAATTAGAACTGAATTGATCTTAGTAAAATAAAACAAAGTCACAATAATTAAATAAAGAGAAGTAAACAAAATTAACTAAAACTATAAATCAGTGAAAATTTGCTCATCTATTCTATTAATATAACCGTACAGAAACAAGCAAAGACTTGGATATATGGAATTATCGACTTACAAACTTTACAAAGATGGACTTGTAGAATTATTTTCACATGCGTCAAACTTTGAACAGTAAACTCTGCAAAATACTTTAAACATGGAGTTATGTGAACAGCTTTACAAATAAATATTTCATTTCAAATTCTGATCCATTATCCAATTTATACAGATGATATATCAAAAATTACTTTGCTTATGGATTTTTTTCCTGTTTATTTCTCTATTTTCAGGCCATAGAATTTTTCAAAGACGTTATGTGGTCACATTGCTAGCTTTTTTGTGTGGTATGGTGGCGCAGTCCCATCGCATAAATATCAGCTTCGCTATAGTAGCAATGGTTAACACCAGCATTACTCTGCCGAATTCGAAAAATAAGACAGTAACAGATTGCGAAACTTCATATTTAGAAAGTGAATCTACAAATTTAGTAAGTTGGTTAAATATTGTTTCTGAAACATTTTTTTTAAATTACGTAAGATTAGTGCAAAATCCTTCGAAACCAATGCGCAAACAAAAAGCAGAACGTGTGGGGTGAGGCCATTGGACAATGCCAACCTCCCTCTATCAAAAGGCACCTCAAGATTGAATCAGTTAGCATATTTTATATGCAAGTGAATTGATGTTTAATAATCGTAGTTGTAGTTACACTACAAAACTCCTCCACCAGAATTTTATCAGGGATAGATTTCGATGAACGGATGCCACTAGTTGCTGTAGTTGAGAAAGGCCTGGAGAGCTGGATAAAGGCCACCGGGTTTGAGCTTTAGCCATGAGAACTGTATTAAGCTCTTGATTGTGTGTGTGGACACTCCAGTGTTGCTATAAGAAGTCGAATGTGTGAAGAATCCTGTTGTGAATAAATGAGACTGAGTAGCAACAGAGCAAGGAGGACGAAGACGCAGTCACATATAGCAAGTCAACTGTTCAATGTGGACCATCCATCGAAGTAGTCGTGATCATATCACGTCCTAAGGTCACCAATGTGGGGTGAGTAGAAATCGACAATGCCAACCTTCATCTATCAACAGGTACATCAAGATTGAATCAAGTTAGCATGTCTTATATACTAGTGAATTGATGCTTAATAATCGTAGTGGTAGTTACGCCACAAGTGTCCTTCTCAATAAAATTCGAAGCAGCATTAAGTCCCTGAAAAAAATGATACTGAATTTTTTTTTGCTATGCATGACTTTTTATTGAAGTTATGTGAGAAAAACATTTATTTTTTAATGGCTGATAGTTGCTGAAAGTTTATATCAAGAGGGTGGAAATAAATAAACAATACTGCCTGAAGACGGAAATATAAAATATTGAGCTGTAAAATAAAATTTTAAAAAAATTTCAGAACTTTTGTTGCGAGACTCTACCGGAAAGTACCGTGCTCTTTTGTTCTCGACTTTACTCAATGAAATTAAAGTAATTCAGACTCCAGTTTACAAAGAATGAGTAACATAACTCTTTTTATTTACACAAAAATTTGCTCTATAATATCGCCATAACAAGCGAATAAACAAATTCTAACTCACAACTTACATATGCTATTAAACCAAATAAATAAAATCTAGCTTACAGTTTACACAAGTAACTAACAAATAAAATCTAATAACTTTAACAACTATAACTTCAACTAAAGTGCTTATTTTAACAATGTAACAACTAAGCACTCCAGCGAAAGGCTTAAAACGTGTCCTCTCAGACATATTTTATTCTGTTTTGTGCTTTGTGATTATCTATTGTAGATACACGTAACAAAATTTTCATCAAAAATAAATTTAAAGAGCCTTAAACTCGTGATAAACAGAAAAATCTCTTCAACAGCTGCATTGCATACATAGCTGCTTGCAAAAAATTTTTTGTTTACAAAAAATGCTAATTTTCGATTTCCTGTTTGTAAAAGTCCTGAAGCTCTTTCCCTCCCTGCACCGAATTGATATTACGGCCTACATTAAGTTTGCAAAAGATCATGAAATAATAAATGCTGAGCCTCATTCCTAATCTCAACAAGTTTTGTATAAAAATTGACCGAATTGAAAAAACTGAAACTCGTAATTTCGTTAAATGTGCAATATCTTTCTATATTTTTTTTAGTTGAAGAAAGTTCCAGAATTCAATTGGAATCCTGAAATCCAAGGATATATACTGAGTGCTGGATATATAGGATATCTTATTACAATAATACCTGGGGGCTTTCTTTCCAGGCGGTATGGAGTAAAACGAATATTATTTACAAGTATTTTAGGCACTTCTCTGTGCAATTTAGTATCCCCTGCAGCTGCCAGGATACATCCATATTTGCTTGCAGTTGTACATTTTATCAGAGGAGTGTTCCAGGTATTGTATAGATTTTTTTTAATTAGACATAAATTTATTTTTTATCAGCAACTGTTAAACATGTCTGGCAAAAAAAAACATGGAAAAAGTTACAGAATATTTAAAAAAGAAAAGAAGAATATTATTTAAAAAAAGAAATAAATAAAAATAAAAATCCGTAAATAAAGATATAATCTCTTCATAGGTAAACAAAATAATGAAAAGATATAATCTCTTCATCAGCTCCCACGATTATATACACGAAAAGTTGTGCTTTCTGATATTGTATCAATATAGTCAAAGCAAAATATATCAATACAGTAGTGCGAGGAGCACTAAAAATTGAAACGAAAATAGAAATCATTGAGTAAAAAATATATACGAAATAAAACGTATCATGTAAAAAAAAACAGAAAATTAAAAATGAAAAAAAAAATATTCGGAACAAAACACAAAGCAAAATCTATAAAGCGAGTAGCGAATTCAAATAAACTTACGCGTACCGGAATCTTTCAAGAATGATTTAAAATATTTTTGTAATAAGATTGCTAGATCGCAAAATATGAAAACAGAAGCGCATATAGAGGTTAGAAGTGTAAATAGAAGGAACTTTTATGGCTCGTTCTTACTGCAGTACTGAAGAGCTTTTGATTTGCCAAGCCTCTATTTGCAGTTCTGTTTTCATATTTTGTAATCTGGCAATCTTATTACGAAAATATTTTAAAACATTCTGGAAAGATTCCGGTAAGTGTAAGTTACCGTTCCAGCGGGATGAGCTAAAAAAGAAATGGAATTTTCTGATTGCTTAAGCGTTAACCATTGTTTTAAATTTACCTATGCACAATACAATTGTTTAAATATTTTAAAGATATCATCAGTGATATTTGTTAGCTCACGAGCTGTATTTGATTGTTGTGGGTTGTTGTCTTGCACCTGGAGAATTGTTTGAATGATTGATGCATTATTGATAGACGTAGTAGGCTATATGAGATAAAAATGTCATTTTTTGGCAGAAAAAAATGCATTTTATTGAGCATTTGGGGACCAAAAGAAATATATAGGTGCATATGAGAAAAACAAATAAAAAAAGTTGTTTCTTTTACAAAAAAATCCATTTTTAGTGGAAAGTATGGTTTCCTCGGACGACCAGCAACATTAAACATCTTTGAGGCATGAAGTTATTAATAAGAGGCTGTGTTTTCTATCCCACTCCTCCAGAAGATGTTCCAGTTCTTGGACAGTTTGTGGGGATAGTAGGTGTCCAGCAATTCGTTTGCCTAGAAAGTCCCAAACATGCTCGATTGGGTTCATGTCCAGAGAACACGCTGATCTATCCATTCGTATGATTCCTTCCTTCAAAAGGAAAGGATTCACCAAGTTAAAACGATGTGGCGTGCAATTGTTTTCCATTAACATGAAGTTATCACCAATTGCTGTTGCATGAGGGACTACAATAAATATCAGAATCTCATCCCTATATCGGCGACTAGTCAGAGCTCTATTTCGAATGATATATAGATCGGTGCGCCCATTATTGGAAGGTGCCAACATAGACCATCACTCTCCCACAGCCAAATCCTATACTTTTTCTGCACAAATGCAGGATTATTTCTAATGATTTTTCAAATTGAAATCTGCATCAAAACGATAATATGTAATGAAATTGAAACCAGTTCAGTAATAAATAAAAAAATGTTGCTCCAAATTTGCTAGTCGAAAAAGCAGATAATTTTCCAATACTGTAATAACTTTATATTTCAAGAAATTTTCAAATTACTTTAATGACGAATTAATGTTAATTTTACTTTTTGCGTATTTTGTCAAATCTCGAGAGCTTCTTTAACGAATTGAAAAAGCTAATATACTTTTTTCATTTCAACACTTCAAACTGTGATGACATATTATTTGTGTATTTTAGTGACATAAAATGAGTGAAAATTTAAAAAAAATATCTTATTAATCTTGCAATATCTTAAATTATTTATCGAATTATCTTATTTTATTTAATTATTATCTTATTGATCTCAAATTATCTTATTTTTATTATTCTGGTGAAATGCATACTAGCAGACACTTTTCAACCTCAAAAATTGTGCATAAGCAATAAGAGAGGCATATAATACATTAATAGAGAATTGAAAATGACTATTTTTGTGAGAAAAGCTCATATACTTAAAACAAACCTAACTTTTACAAACCTAACTTAAAACAAACCTATTTTATTAACGATTGGAAATTTGAACATGAACTATGAATATATATAGAATACGAATAGTAGGAACTGAACAAGCATTAAATTCACTAGGTACTTGAGAATGACTATTTCTGTTAGAACATATCCTATACTCAAAACAACTCTAATTTACAGGGTCCACCAGCTGCCGCATTTGCTCTCTTAACGGCACGTTGGTTTCCTATACAAGAAAGAGGTTATCTTGCAACGTTTTTATATCTTGGCTTCCCAACGGGTGCCTCTGTCGGAAGTTTAATATCTGGACCTATTAGTGAAATCAACTTAGATGGTGGATGGCCATTAATATTTTACTTTTTTGGTACGTTAATTTGTTCATCTAAACTAATTACGCTACATTATTAGTCATTTTTCGTTTTCAACCTAAGAATTGCATAAAGAAACTTTTTATTAAAAATACAGACATCGATTTTGAATTTTAAATTTCCTAAGCGTAAAATTGACAATTCTATTACTTTCGTAAATATAAATTTTCCAGGATTATTCGGATTACTAGTCAGCGTGCTTCTGTTAACCTTGTATGCAGAAAATCCAACAGATGATACGAGAATTTCAGAACGAGAGTTACAATATATTCTGGAACATACAAACGGAAACACAGCTCAACAGGTATGAAATGCATTCTTAAATAAGACGGAGACTATAAAACTTAAAATATAAAAATTCTGAATGAAAATAAAAAGACTAAGGTTATTTTGACTTGACGCGTATACATCATGCCAGTACCTAACACTGAAATCATTTTCTCCAGCAGTTACAGTATTAGGCTACAGACCCAAAGGTCTGGTGTTCAATCACAGTCGTCAGCCAATACATATAGCTCATGCACTCTTTCTTATTGAAGACTACGAATGTCGGACTCACCGCTTTCTCCCACAACTACAAAACACGATTACTATATAGATATCATTTTACACGATTTAAGCTATAAGCACTGTTTTACATCATTTCTTTAGCGAATGTTTTTTAACTGTTAGATTAGTGTATCTATTTTTAATTTTTACCCCATGTCGGTAAGTTTCTTTTCTGCTTACTTTTATCTTAAACTTATTTTCAATGGCATTTTAATATTTTAGCGTTATAGACGCATTATGAAAAAGGAATTTATCTTAGGATAATTATTCTTTCTTTTGAAATATCGCATAAGCACCTCAGATTTTGATTTTATATACACTCTATAACAAAAAAAATCGACGCACCAAGAAGGAGTTGTCCGATTAAAACGAAAATTGGTGGATGGGAAGACAATGTACAGAAGTTTGATGATTAAAATTTCAGAAATATTGAATAATTCATTACAGAGTTACAATAACAAGTTCAATAAGGTGTTGACCCGCCTCTAGCCTGGATAGAAGCTGCCACACGGCGTGACATAGACTGATAAAGCTCCCGGATGGTCTCTTGCGGTATTTCCTGCCAAATTCGATCGAATTGTCGAACAAAGTCGTCAACATTCCGTGCCAGATGCAATCGCCTTCCCATCATATCTCAGACATGCTCGATATGAGAGAGATCTGGTGAACTGGCAGGCCAAGGAAGAGTTTGACAAGCTTGCAGACAGTTCATAGCAACACGTGCCGTATGTGGTCTGGCATTGTCCTGCTGAAAAACCAGCCCAGGATGCTGCAAAAAGAACGGTAGCAAAACAGGTCTTAGGATGTCGTCGACGTACCGCTATGCAGTAAGTGTATCTCTAATGACGACCAAAGGGGTCCGGCTGTCAAAGGAAATGTCACCCCAGACCATAATGCCTTGTTGAGGGCCGGTGTGGCGTGCAATAGNGGCTGCTCTAGATTTATTTATCATTTGTCATGCATTTAATGATAAATTTCATTGCTTCTGCCTTCCTTTTTATAAGTCAGAAAATGTATACTTTTCCTTCCTTTTTTTCACGAAAACTTGATGGTGTATTTCAATACATTAAAAACTAAAATATGAATACTACGCATCTGTTAGACATTTTAATTTTATGGCACTCTTCATTTTGTGTCATGGTACATTGGGGGGTGATATATATATATATATATATATATACACACACACACTGGTGTGCAAAACTTAAGCAACAAGTGGTTTATCGTCCACAGCTCCCCAACAAAGTATAAGATGGCCATGAAATTGCAGTATAATATGCACGTAATTCAGTAGAAAGATTATTTGTATGCAAATTTTAGAAATAAAACGACGTAGGTGATGTAAGTGTAAGTAAACCTTGTGTGTCGGCCTGCGCAGGTCAAAGCTGTGATAAAAGGATGAAGAGCACCGTAGTTAAAGACATTAGCTGCAAGTGCAAGTGATTTGTTTTGTGAAACATGTCTTCAAGAAATCATTTAGACGACTTTACTCGAGGAAGAATGATTGGGAAGCTTGAAGAGGGGCGTAGTATGACCAGTGTCGCCGAAGAGTTCGGGATTAACAAAAGTGTTGTTTCTCGTGCTTGGAATGCCTTTAAAACTACTGGTACAGCTGTTCGGAAGGTTGGTGGTGCCCGTCCAAGGATATCAACACCAAGAGATGACCGTTACATTGTCCTCAAGGCGAAAAGAAACCGTTTTCAGTCAGCGAGGGCCTTATCTCAGCAACTGTGCACAGCCACAGGACGACAGCAAGTATCAAGATTTACAGCGGCCAGACGTCCCCACAAGGGTGGCATATTTGCTAGACGTCCTGAACGCTGCATGCCTTTAAAAGTTAGCCATCGGCGGCACCGTTTAGAGTGGTGCAGGGAACACGAAACCTGGACACCTCATCAATGGAGTCGCGTTCTCTTTACAGATGAGAGTCGTTTTAGTGCTACAAGCGATTCTCAACGTCAGTTGATCTGGAGAGAGGTTGGAGCTCGATTTCATCCCAATAACATCGCGGAAGGAGATCGTTACGGTGGTCCTGGAGTTGTAGTCTGGGTGGCATTATGTTGAGCGGGCGGACTGAGCTTCAGATCTTCGACCGAGGTTCTGCAACTGGAGACTGCTACTGCACTGAGGTAATCCTACCCCATGTGCGTCTGTTCCGAGGGGCCCTTTAACCAGACTTCATTTTTATGGATGACAATGCCCGGCCACACCGTACTGCCAATGTTCAAGAGCTACTGGAAAGGGAAGATATCACACGAATGGATTGGCTAGCTTACTCTCCAGATCTAAATCCCATAGAGTATAAGTGAGATACATTAGGGAGACGTCTTGCGACACGACAGTATCCTCCTGGTAACACCCATCAGCTGAAAGATGCGCTAAAGGAGGAATGGAGACGTTTACTCAAAGAACTCCTGGATAATCTGGTGCTTAGTATGGAGAGATGATGCCAAGCAACAATTACAGTAAAGGGAGGGCATATCCCACACTAGGGAACATCTGCCAGTTGTACTTACGCTTCTTCAGGCAATCATGTGTAACTCCACTATATGTCAAATAAAGCCTTTTTTTTGTTCCATACCCTACTTTAAGCTTTATATTAATTTCTGCGCCATTATTCTTTTACAATCGTTTAAGTACAAAATAATGTACATCATATTCAAATCTCATGTCAATCGGATGATTTCTTGTAGAGTTAAGACAAAAAACGCACTTGTTGCTTACATTTTGCACACCAGTGTGTATATATATATATATATATATATCGTCACTAAATGTCTTATTCGAAGCAAAACTTGACATTTAAACTTTGCGTCATTTTGCAATGATTCCTCTTTTCACACTGGCCGCATCAAATTTAATGCACAGGTACATCTAATAAACTGCTGTAAATAAGATGCTAATGGTTTTAATTGATTAAGAACTTGCTAATACATTTGCGTGGAGCCGCGATGGCTCAGGGGATAGAGTGTTCGCCTTCTAATGAGGTGAACAGTGGTTCGATCCCGGCGATGACTGGTCGATACTTCCGGCGATGGCTTCCGGCTTGCACCGACCACAATGCTGACGTGAAATATCTTCAGTGGTAGACGGATCATGGGTTAGAGTCCCCTTGCCGTCAAGCTAACCGTACCAGGGTCTCGTGTTCTTTCTCTCCATGTAACGCAAATGCGGGTTAGTTCCATCAAAAAGGAACCTCCACGAAGGCAAATTTCTCCCAATATTTGATCCAGGAGTTCCCCTGTCCTCTGGATTGGGATCAAAATTACAAGGCTACGGAGTTGAAAATAAGTAGTCGTAAACCCAAAAATTGGGTCGGCTGTTGAACGGCGGTTATAAAAATACGTTTGCGTGAGTGTAACATGTTCTCCTGCACAGCTATTAAACAATGAGACACTTCATAAGTCATATTTAAGGAAATTATAGTGGTTAAAAGCATTAGAAAACTTAAGTACAAAACATATCATTAAGATGCAAATCATCCTAAATTTAAAAGATTTATTATAGTTCATTTCAATCTAGAAATTATATATATTTTTTAATTATTCTGTTAAAGGAAATCTTATTTTTACTTGCTTATATTCTTAAAAAATATGCTTTCCCTTTATTCAATTCTATTCTATGAAGCCAGTCATAGTACATCGTACCAACTTTTAGTGAAATCAAAAAAAGTTTAAAGAAGTTCAACAGAAAGGAAATAAAAAGTCTTTAGTAGTTTATCCTGATAAGTGATAAAATATCAAACATTTATTTATACATTTATAACATAATTCCTTAACAACTTTTTTTTATCCCCTTGTACTCTGAATCTCCTTATAAATACTAAGCAATAAACCATTCAAATCATTTAGTAGCTACATCCGTAGGCTGTTACCTGCAGAAGTAAAATCTCCTGAAATCTTGCCTTTGCGGGATTTAATTTTAGCTGAATCTCTGTATTATGGATTTCTTAATCATTGCTGAGATTTGCAATGTAATACAGTTTTTAGAAAATGTGTTACTAAATACAATAGATGCCTTCAGTGTACACTTTTTACTAATGTATCAGATGATTTTAATGTTGTTTTAAGCTGTTTTAATTTAAGATTTATTTAAATTTTCCACACTCCATTGTTATTTCACATAACACAATACCATGATAAATTCTATTTCAAAAGTATTGATATACTTAATGTCCTGCTTAGAATCCTCCTATCCCATGGAAAAGAATTCTAACTTCCTTACCCACCTATGCTTTCTTTATATCATTGTTTGGACAATTCTGGATGGTATTTTACCTTCTAACAATTCATCCTATCTATTTGGATTCGATTCTTCATCTACCTGTAAAAGAGGTGAGTAAAAATTAATGTTTATTTTGAATTTTTATTTTTCCTCTTTATTTCAAACAAATTTGGCCGATGATTCGTTTGATATGATGAACCGAAAGAGCTTAGAATCCCTTCCGGCAAAAGGCATGAAAGCTGCTTTTGGAAATTTAAATTATTTTCAATCTCAACCATTTGTTCTAAATGAAGTCGTAAGCAAAATGAGAGTGAGTGGTAAAAAAATGTCTACTTCCATTTCAAAAAGCAATTATTATCTCTATATCTTCCTTATTTTCATTATTCGAAAATTTAAAATCCGTCGGTGTAAGATATATTTTAACCACTAGATTAACTCAAGATGCTCTCGAGAGTTTGTTTAGCCATATTAGAAGTTTTGGCAGATTCAATGACCATCCTAGTCCTACCGAAGTAATTAAAAGATTTAAACACTTGTTAATTGCAAATAAGCTACCTAATCTTTCGTCAAAAGTATGAGCAGAAATAAAAAATTCAGAAATAGTTTATTTAAATCGGAATTATTAGAAAAGGCATTTAATAAAGACAAAACAAAAAATATAGTTTCCGAAAATAATGATATTCCAGACAACGTTGAAGATATAATGCAGGACTTAACTAACTTCCTTCCCATGTCTTGGGATATTAACCTTAATTTGGGAGACAAAATGATCAATTCACTAGAAAAAGTACTAAATTATATTGCTGGTTAAGTAGCATTTCGCCTTAAAAATATTGATTCAAAATAAGGAATACCATCTTCTTAGTTCATCCAACAACAGGGAAGCAACACGGAATGGATTAATTCCTTATTTAAGGGAGGATAATTTGTTCCGTCAGCAGCATGGATATAAGGAATATGAGAACATTTTCCAAAGTGTGCATGGAACATCTTATAGAAAATCAAAAAGTGTCATCAAAGAACTTATAAATGAATTAGAGGGACGATATCCCGCACTGAATAAAACAGCAATACGCTTATTTTGTCGTCTAAGAACTTTTATAAAAATTCACCATCTAAATAGAAGCCACCTCGTTCCTTCGAAAAGAAAGGCAGGCAAAAAAATTTAAAAATGGATAGAGTCAAAGAAAATAAAAACTTAAATGAAAAGTATAAATAATTAATAGTTAAAATTCTTCTAATTTCATAGCATAGTTTTTAATGTATAGTTATTCTAAATATTTATGATTTTTCTTCATTATGTTCTCTTAAATTTAAATATCTATAAGCAATTGTAAATTTTCTAATATTATTAGGAACCTAAATTATTATTTTATTTCAGTAATGAGCGTTTAAGGTTGTTGTTTCTTAATAATTAAGTATACAAAAATTACCATTAACGACACATTTTAAAATCAGTATTCTAAATTTAACCCAACAAATTATTGTTATCTAACAATATGTAGCTAAAAAAGAGTCGATATAGGCTTTAATTTCTTTTAATAAGAAAATTAAAACTGAAAATTTTAAAATAAAGTATATGTAACGTCATTTACGACAACTAGTAAAATATTTTTATTCGTTTAAAATGGTATTTAGTTTAATATTACGGCCAAGAAAATGTTTTGAACTATGTTTTTGAGCGCAAATAATGTGTTAATTGTGTAAAGTTTGAAATCTAATATCAAGAAAAAGTTGAACTTATTTTTGCAGAAGGAATGATGCAAAGTTTTCATAATATCTTTGTTCGCAGTCTCCGACTTCTGTGTGCGGCGTGACGTCATAAGGAGAGAAATCGTAACTTCGGCTCTAAGAGAGAAATGAACTAGCCCTTCTCTTCTTTAGCCCTGGATATTTACTACAAAATACTGTAATATTTTTTGCAGGTTGACTTTGTAATGGAAGATCTTAAAATTTTTTTAATCAATTGATGAAAAAAAAAAATTTTAACACAATTTCAATCATTGAAAAATAATATAAATTCATCATCTTAAAATAGTATAATTATATTTTAAATATTATAAACATAACATTTGGAGTTATGGCACAAACAAAAACATTTGTAATTATCTTTAAAATCGGAATTTTGTTTTTATTCTGATATGTGTCCTTTGTTGATTTTAGAATGGTCTTCTAACTTCAGCACCTCAATTAGCGCAAGTATTAACAGGTTTCATTGCCTGCTGGTTGTCTATGCGGCTAAAACACATGAATATTAAAAGCATTAGCTTCATCAGAAAAGGATATAATTCTCTAGGTGAGGATAAAAATACGTATTGATTAAAATTTGAATAATAATGTCAATTTAAGTTCCGTAGTTATCAGTACTATGTAAATTACGTATGTTCAGTGAACCAAAAAATATCTTTGAGGTTTACGAAATATATAATTCTTTTGATGGATTTTTTCTACAAATAAACCTATATTATGAAACCGTTTTGCAGAGTACTTTAAAAACTATGAGTATTTCAAATTGTTTTCATTTTTATTTTTTACCTAAATTACTAATTTCTTCTAGTTTTTAAAAGTAGTACAAGGAGCCATTTTTCCGAGGTTTGTCCTATCTAGGACAAACCTCGTAAAATTATAATTACATTACTTATCAAAATATGCAAAGAAATTGAAATTTTTATGCATGCATTTATTTTTTTACTTATGGCCTAAATCTAAAATAAAAGGAAATGGTTTAAATGCAAAAATTGGTGTGTAAATTTGCCCTGTATATAAAGCAACGGTACTTGATTCATGTAAGAAAGTACTCTGATTCTTGCATCAATAATAGAATGTTCCATTATGTACAGAATTTCCTTGAGAAAAATCGCCAAGCCTCTAAGGAGTTCTCAGATACTTTTCTCTTTCTCATATATCGAGATCTTCGAAATTTCGGGAAGGTAGCTAAGTCTTTTGTCTCCAAAAAAGTCGCCAATATAGCCAGAATGGTTACCAAGTTAACACACTATTAATGAGAGAGTCTATTTCTTGTAAGTTGATATTGTGTGCTGCCAAAATACGAGTAGTAGATAAGCTAAAATGTAGATTTTGGGGGAAATGGCGTATGCTAAATAAAGAAAATATTAATGATTCGTTGTATTCAAAAAAATAATTACACGCATTTTCTTAAGGGCAGCTTTCCTAAAGATTGAAAGACAACTACTTTGAAAAACGAAAAGAATGATATAGAGAACAAATATAGAGATAAAAGAAAGCATAGAGAACAATAGAGAAGCAGCTGTATCAAGAGCCTATGAATGTAAAAGGACCACATGACTTCTCTGCATCGGTCCACAAGAGAGTGCGTACAGTCCGCAAAAAAAAAAAGATATCACCCTGAATAACTTTTGTTCTAATGATCGGATTTTCACGATCTAAATGTCAATCTTAATGGTTCCCGGGGGTGACCTCCAATATGCTAATTAATTAGTGCTAACTATTAATTAAGTTACGAAATCAGACACAAAAACGTACTTTCTCTGAATAAACATGCATTTTTTTTTACATATTTGGATTCCTGACCTTCAAAATAGGGGGGGTAGACAAAATTTCGAAAAAAATGGGTTGTAAATTAGGTGGCAATAAATATATTGTTAGTTCAGACACTCCGATAAAAAATTCATACACACACCATCATTGCAGCAAAAAGGAATACACAAAATTGTAATAGAATTCTTTGAGCCATTCCTTGACCAAGATAAGTAAGAATACTCACTGCATATTCATCTTCTTCATCATCTGGTTCCCCACTGTTTAGATCATAATCTTCAACTCAGTACTTTAATGTGTTACTCAAGGTTCCACTTACTAAAAGACATAAGTTTCAATATAAGTACACAAAACAAGTTGCTTTTTAACACAAAATTAAAAACACTTAGGTAAATCGTTAATGTCAAAACTTCTATACTTAGTGCAATACTTTAGCTGACCTGACACTGATGTTAAAAATTTTAATTAATGAGCAAAAACATATTTAATTAAAAAAAGTTCTATTATTTTGAAAAATATTGTCATGCTATTATAAGGTACGCATATTTCCTAGCTTTTAAAATTTCTTTATTTCACCAATTTATGATACTTTTTAACAGGATGCGTAGCCAAATCTTTCAGCAAAAAATAAGCACCTTTTAAGAACTTTGCAAAGACTTCACACGATCACGATAAAATAATGTAAAACACGTAAAATGATTGGCACTATCACACGTTACGGACAGACGGTACGCCGAAACGGAGTGTGGTAGAATGAATTATGAAATCGTTGAATAGAACAAAGTAAAAAGCACGCTTCTGCATAATCAGGGGTCTGTCCAGACATTTTGTGAAAGGTTCGTTTTGGTAAAATTTTGAAAAAAATTACTCGTAATTTGTGAACATAAAATAAATGTTAAGTCACATTCTTTCAAC